ATTTTCAAGAAATATGCGATTTTTGACTTTTTTTTGACAAAGCGAACGTTTGTTTTGAATTTCCTGATCGTGTAACGGTACACCTGATCTTGAAATTTGATTGGCAAAAAATCACGTGTCCGGAAAAATTTGTTGGTGCTGCAGGGGAAGTCCTTGTTCGCCACCACTAAGCTACTTGCTTTAGCCATCCCCTCAAAATAGAAAAAAAGCTTTTAGTTGGACGGTCCCCATTTAACATCTCTATTTGTAAATCAACCAATAAACGTGCCAAATTCGCAATCATCACAATTTTTACTTATCTGATTGGTAGATCCTATTTGTAAACATAACCAAAATCACGTCTGCAAAATCAGCCAATCATAATAAACCCACCTTTTTTATAAATGTACGCCAACACTTCGCAATGGACTAATCATGGCAGACGGCGAAATATTCAGTATCGCGTCAAAAAGGGGAAGAGGAAGACCCCGAGGCTCCAGAAGTACCCCTACCAGATCCCGAGCAACTTTGAGACGTGCAGGACCTAGAAGGGGAGGAAGAGACCAAGTAGGAACAAATTTTCGAGAAGGGTTATCAATATCACCAGAAGCCAGAGACTTTATTGCCGACGATGATTCAAATTCTATAAGTGAGCAAATATCCCCGCGAACGAGTCGGCAGCCTTCACCAACCCCCTCAATTGCTTCAGTATCAAGTGGTATTAGGCGACTTGGATCACTGCAACCAGATCTTCCACCTCCTGGAAGACTAGCATCAGTTAGAACAGTTCCTACAGGTCACTACTTTTTACCAACTTCTTCAAGAGTGACACTTCGTGGAACTCAACGAATGACGTTTGTGCCGTCGGTGCCTGAAGCTCATAGGCGACCACAACCGTTAGTGCTTTTCCGTGAACATAGAAAAGTGGTTTACTTATTAATCAAATGTTTTCAAAATATTGATTTTTGATTATTCTATCAAAGTACGTTGGCTTCTGACTCTATTTCGCCCGATTTTTTCGATAATGAAGATTCTTCCGGGGTAATATTGTATAATATTCTTAACAGTATTATTACAATTATTTGGCTTTATTTAAGCTCATTATAAAAATTTATTATAGAATTGTGATTTTTATCAAATTGGTCATGGTTATAATCCAATGCAACGTGGAGGTATTTCAGCTTTAATATTTTCATTTAGACGTTTTAGGAATAATTACATATCAATATTTTCTTATAGGGATACGTGGTCGAAGTCGTTATGCACCAGAATTAGTAGCATCAGGACCATTCGCTTATGGATCAAATTCTACGTTTGCATCATGTAATATGACATTTGTTTATTTGTGACTTTTATATGATCATTCGTGATACACTATCTCTCCTTGAAAAACTTTAGTAGGAGCGAATGGGGTCAATATTTTTAATTCGTCTATTATTGAAGAAAGGAAGAACAGAACAGAATTTGCGGCAGATTTTGAAACATTTCGGGATGACCCATGGGCACCAGATATGCTTACAGTGGATTTGGAAAAGGAAGACAATGTAGCAGGATATTTAGAAGGTGCGTGATAATAATGATAAATCTGTCAATACGGAAAATTTCAAATGGAATTTTTGCAATGTATCGGTAGCATTTTGGAGTCAATGGGCTCGTCATTTTTTGTGATTTTAGAAAGAGATAGAAACCGACGTCGAAGAACTTTCTTTTCTTTTTACCACCCATTAGTGGATAACGAAAACCTCATGGGTAAAAACTGCTACGATAATCAAGACCCGAATGAAAAATCGGAGCGATATATAGATTTTGAAAGTATCGTACGTACATTTTACTATGTAGATTATTCGACGATCTTTCCATAATGCTAAGATATTTATCTGATCTCTGTTCATATTTAGGATGACCAATTATTATGCTTTCAATTACCTACAATACTACCGAAGTTCGAAGCACCTAAGAAGTCATCACAAACGACTATGAAAGACAACGCTACGGAAAAGAGTCAGAGCAAGGTCGATAAGAGTAAAATGACAGCAATCCTAGGAAATTCAAGAGGTAAGGATATTGATTCTAATATGGACAGTGATAAAAATGACAATGAGCCAGAAGGGCAAATAGGAAAACTTGTTATTCGCAAGTCCGGTAAAATGCAGTTGTTACTTGGCAATTTCATATTTGATGTAAGTGATCATAGAGTTCTAATTTCATTAAATTAATATCATCGTTACTTTTGCCGTCGAAATCACTCACTCATTTGTGATACTATGAAAAGGTCAATCAAGGTGTGGATCGATCATTTTTGGAGAATGGTTTCGTTGTAGACGCAGAGAAATCAAGTGTATATAACTTGGGACAGATAAAGCATCATCTAATTGTAAAACCTAACATTGCAAGTTTACTGGGGTCGGAATGCGTTAGGGTTGCAACCCAACCATTTTTTTGAATGACAACATTGTTACATAGGTTGAGTTTGGGAATCTGATTATTTGATAATAAACAGAATCAAAATATATGCACATCTTCATATGTGCCATTTTCGGTCAATAGTATCAAAGTTGGACAAATTTATAAATAATAAATGCTAGTAAAATTTGGTTTTAATTAAAAGTGATTTAGTGACTAAGCAGAAGCTACTAAACAAATTGACCTATTAGGTCTAATCGTTATAAATATATATAATAAGTGAAAAATAATTACAGAAGTAAAAAGTTTTTCACATCCAGAATAGAATTTCGGATTATAAATGAAATTGATTTCTTATTAGATAGTTATGTAGTTTTTTATAGTTAATTGATTAATGAATTACTTGTGGTCATGATTCAATTCAAGCCTTGAACCATAATTAGAAAGCTTTCAGATTCATTATCAAAGGTAGTTGAAACTCCAAAAAGTATTATAATATTTTTTACAATTAGTACAGTCAACTCTCTATATTCACTTCCTTTATAGTCACAAAATTAATATAATTGCAAATTTATTTTACTGCTTATTTATAACTATGTTGGGTTTGGGCTATCAATTTTGCTTTATATGCAAATTGCAGATTTTATGAGTGCTGCCAAGGGAAAACCTACAATAGTTTTGCAGTTGGGGTTTACGGACAAATTCACGGGGTAGAGCATGTTCATGTGATTCAGGGTGCTCTCAAGCATCTAAATTAATTGTCAATTTTTAATTATATAGTGGAAAATAAATTATTCTGTCAAGCGAGTTCATTATCGTGATGAAAAAAAAGATGGTCAGAGACCATCTTTTTTTATCATAGAGTTGTGCTGATTGGCTAAAATTTAATATCCGCATTCCGCAACAGAAATCTTCGACAAAATTACCGTAAGGTTTACTTCAATTAATCGTAGTATTTGTGCACGATCTCTATAGCTAGCAAATTACACAAAGAGTTGAGAGCACCCTCAATTGCGATATAAATTCAATGATGATCACTCTTGGTATTGATTCCAGAATAACTCAATTATGGGGAGATATATGAATTTAAAAAATTTTTTCAGGTGATGCAAAGCATGTGGCCGCCACTGTAATCATCGTTTTAAACTAAATTTGATTAGAGTAAATATCACTTATTTTTAGAAAGTTAGCATCACAATAACTAGTAAATATTTATGTAATAGCATTTAAACAATGCACGAATAATAGAGTAGTTCATGTAAAAAATGTATCAGACATTATGGAATCATTGTGTGCTATTATATGTTAACAAAGTACAATATCTATTTAACTACTACGAAAGTCTTTATAAAACACCTCGCCTCTCTTCATCTATTTTTTGAATTTCAATTGATAGCTGAGATGAAGTTTTTGTTTTTGGCGACCACCATGGTTCCCTGATGAATTCGGATTTGTAATGCAACAACTCGACGTGATTAATCCCAAAGATACTATCAAGTTTGTTAGGTCCATAGTCAAGTCCATCGAGCATGTTACCAATCTCTTCATATGTTTCCTGTATAATATATCTTATCAATCTGTTTCAAATATATTAAATAGAAATATAGAACAATAAATCTTACCAATACAAATTTAAATATTCTTACAGCAGGCCTTAACTTTTGAATTTGAGATAGCTTTGTCGGCAATTCAAACGACAGTCCAGGTATAACCACATAAAATCCGTTAACCAAATCTTCAAGCAATACTTGTCCATAAGCTCCGGCAATTTGTAAAAATGGCACCTTTACTATTTTCGTTTGCTCATCAGATAAATCCAACTTTAACATGCCGTTTAATATGAACTGGTTAATTCTTGCAAATCTACAGCGATCCTCAATTGCCTTAGCAGGTGTAGCGTACGCTGAAAATTCCCATTCGCCTAAGTCGATTCCTAAATTACTCATGAACCTAACTAACATCGCATTTTCGGCCTTTTTCAAAATTTTCCGATTTGCTTGAAGGGCAAAAAGTTTCACCCCTAAATTGTGATTTATAAATTTAATGATTCAAAGATTCAACACACACAACAAATAATAATTATTATTTTATTTACTATTTATAATGTAGATGAAGACCTTTTATCAAGCCTTTTACAATATAAGAGGATGCTTTCACAATAACATCTACTTCAGTGTGAGTTTCTTTACCGCATTCTAATATATCTGTACTATCTATAACTTCAAATAGACTGTAAAGAATTAGAAATAAATGAAAGCAAATTATGGTAACAATAAATAAATAAACAAAAACTTACAAGTCTCCATAGATCTTACTGATTTTATATATACAGGTGTTATTCACTGAGTTTGTATATCTTTCAATACAAAATTTATATGTCTTGCTTGGGTCACTTTGAGCCATCTATGCATAAAACAAAAGTATATATACACTATCTATATGTAACTTCTAAAAAAAAAATACTCTGTTACCTTCTCTACTTCCGTGATAAAAACATCAACTTCTTCTTCAAAGTCGGGAGGTTTTATAATTGGTTTAAAATCTTTTTTCATAAATTCAAGATCATTAGCAGAAAACCAATTTCGCATATGAGCTAAAAGGTCAATTAATCCTGAAATGCAATATCTCAATGTTGCCCTTTTTAGAGCTGTCAATTTTTCCTTGTTCTTCGTAGACTTTGCTAATTGTGAAATATTTATATCAACAATATCTGTAACATCATTCTTAGATAGCAGTGCCTATTTTTTCACTTTGGTTGACATGAAATCTGTAACAACATCCAGCTGGAGAATTTCTTCTTCATCAACATCATCTACTGATATTGAGGATTCATCTTCATTATCTCTGGTAGCAAAGTCTGGTTGAGGTGGTGGTTTTGACAAAACCATGTCATCAGGAAGAATCATGCCTGAACATGTTTTTTGCTTGAGACAAATATGCATTAATCAACATGAACAATTTTACGATATTATAGAGTAATTAATAACAGCTTCTATCTTTTTATTTCGAGTATTCTTCATGAAATCATTCCATTTTTGTAGAGAACTAGTAATTCTTTGCTGCATAATCTGCGATTATTTTCTAACTTCTTGTGCGATAGTGTATAGTAACTCAGCCTGGTAAATCTTAATTAGAATAGAAGGGTAATGTTACACTTCAAAAGTAATACGTACATGTTGATATGATGCACGTTCTAACAGCACATCCTTTTCCATTTGATAAACCTTTGCTTCGATCTCGAGAGACATTAACTTTGACTTGAAAAAGAATAATTAATAAATGATATTATATACACCTAAAAAAAATATATAACAATACAACATTTACATCATGTTTTTCTTTGATCCAAAAATGTTGAATAATTTCTTTGTCAACTTCATCCTAACATAAAATATTTAAGTAAATTTGCAATAACAAGATAACATATTATCACAACTATATATAGACTGCAATCAGAATTACACTATCAGAAAAGAAGCATAAAGCCTTCCCTCCTTGTTGCAGGATTAGCATTACACCTCTGTAATATTTCAAGATCTTACAACGAACTATCACAACTACATATAGACCACAACTAGCATTATACCATCAGAGAAGAAGCATAAAGCCTCTTCTCTTTATTGCAGCATTAGCATTATGCCTCCATGATATTTAAAGAACCTCACCTGTGTTGTAATACAACACAAAAATTATAATTTGAAAATTGTTGCATCTTCCAACTATCTATTTATTTACCTTGAAATTTTCAAGTAGAAATTGTGCATTATTTCTTTTAACTTCAGAGAACGAATCTGATAACTCTATAGCATGCAAACTCATTTGGTATCTATAATATTCTTTATCCTTTAATTTTGTAAAATCATGTTGTTGTTTGTGATATGTAAGAAAGCCTATAAGCAACCATTTGTTAGCAGGTGTTTGAATTATATAGTTGTCTATGAAAACCATATTGGTATTGAGAAGAGAGTGAAGAAGCAGAAAACTTTTTTATTTTTAGGAAGTTTTTTATACAGCAGATTAGATTCAAAACGCACCCGTCTTTATAGTCATGTGACTAATAATGTATGAAATATCTAGTGTAACTACTATTTTTATGTATACTACACAAATACTAAATCGTGTCTTTATACACGAGATAAAACTCAATTGTGTCTTCATACATGACCAATTGTGGGCGAATTTGACTTATTAAAGATAAATAATCTATATTTGAGATAGAACCATTACAAATAAGAAAATGATGACCTGATCATGCATATTGGCAAGATCAAATATGTATACATTATTGGGCCGAGCAAATGAGCATGTATCGCAAAGTGGTACATATCAGCCAATCATTTGCCCAAATTACCATTATTCAAAAATTTGTTGAGTTTTAATTCGAATAAATGTAAATACTGTATTTCGTAACACATGAAAAAAATAACAGACAGAAATAGTATAGCTTATCCCTTAAATTATATATACTATATTTTATAATACGGCAATTTTTTTGTACATCAGTTTGTATAACTTTGTATACATCAATTCAGCTCAGCCAATAAAATTGCAGTAAATTTTAGATATTACATTTGCTTAAGTTCATATAATACAGTATCATGTATATCAATTCAGCTCAAGAAATTTATACTGTATTACTGTATATTAATTTGTTAATATGTTATACTTCAGATTGGAATCCACCCAATTCAAAATTGGGCTGTTTCAATTCAGAATCGAGGTAATCAGATTTAGAATTCTTATATGGGGTATTCAGTTCAATAATTAGTAAGGTTAGGATTAGAGTTAGAATATTAGTATAGTGAGCCAGGTACCTTATATAAGAATTCTAAATCTGGCTATTCTGATTTTAAATTAGACAACCAGATTCTGAATTAGGCAGATTTCAAATCCAAGTACAACATATATATATATATATGATCAAATTTTGCTTTAATAATTTTTTTTTCTGTATTCTGTAAACATATTAAACCAAGCCTTTTTATATTTTAATCCAAGTTTTACTATTATTAAAGTTCAGTTAAATCTCTATTTTAACTCCTATTTATTCTAGTATATTTTTTATATTTTAATATATATAGAAAAAAAAAGAAAATACTACTATAAAATTTAGTATATTAAATGATTAAATGATTTGTTTATCAAACTAAATATAAGAAGTACTTTTGGAATAATTTGTATCATATAATATTTTGGCTTTATTGTGATATATACTGTATATACATATATATTGAAAAAGTAAAAATAAATAAATCCAAAGACAAGTATAAATCAGAATAAATATTATATAAACAATAAAGATATGAATTGAGTAACTGTGATCACTTGAATTCAAAGTTATAGATTTATACTAATGTAAAATCTAACTAATTAAGAAATTATACTTCATATATATTTACCTTATATATAGTTAATATATCTTCACTATAATAAAACTAAAGAGAAACAATTATTGTATATAATTGTATTTATAACTTTCAAATTTTACTTTCTATTATATATTCTAATTCATTTACTATATCTTAAAAGATATAAGTTATAATTATATTGTTATAGAATAGGCTTTAGCATTATTTTTGTTATTTTTATTATTATTATTACCTTTGCAATGTTGTGGAAGGGTGAATTTTTATTAGGTATATTTAGTAGTATATTCTTGGTTAACAAGAGTACATATAGCCACATGTGTAACTTTTAATCGGCTAATTTAAATAGTCCATTTAAAGATTCTACACTATATGCTATTCCTTAAACCGTCCAGCAGGCAAATTTGCCTGCTAGAATTTTTTTTAACAAGTTTTTTTAAAATTACTAAAAATTTTATTAAGGATATGTACTCCTATTATTAAGCTAAAATAAAAATTTAGCATATTGTTAATTGATATCTATTAAAATTTTAATTATATTTATATTTATAAATAAAAGAAAAATTTGTCTAAATATAGACAATTCTTTAATTTTACTATAAAATTTTTTTAAAAAATTTTAAAAAGTTTTTAAATTTTTATATGTTTCCAAAGAGAAAAAAGCTTTTCTCTATTAATTAATGTTTAAATTTTAATTATAAAATTATAAAAACTTTTATAACAAAAGTTGTTTATGATAACTTAATCTACAATTTGTATCAAAATTATAGGGTATATATTTTTAGAATTTTAAAAAGGTTGTCAATAGTCAAAAATAAAGTTTCTAAAAATCAAAAATTTTTAAAATTTTTAAATTTTTTTAGCTTATAGACAACTTAAAATTTTTTTATACAAATATAAAAATTAAATTTATTAAAATATAATCTATATTAATAGTTAGTATTTAAAAAAAAATTTTTTTTAAATAACTTAATTTTAACAAAAATAAATCAAAAGCAAATTTTATAAATCATTTAAAAATTCTAGCGGGCAAATTTGCCTGCTAAAACTGATAGTTTAAGGGATATCTGTAACCTAACTAGAAGATTACCTATTTAAACCCTCTGATATCTCCTGTCTTGCATTATCACTATAATCACACCAATCTATAACCTTATGCTGCTTCTTATTAAAAGCTACTCAGATCAATATCTGCTATACTACTTGTATTCTAATTCTATAGATAATCTAGTAGGATTCTTATACTACTGAGTTGCTTTAAAGAAGGTATAATACATACTCTTCTAATCTTTTTATGTCCTACGCACTTCCAAATTAGGCTACAAATACCTTCTGCAGCAGCTGAAACCACTATTAGCAGTTAGTGCAAACTATTAAACTACATAATTCTAATATTTAGTGTTTTTGCAAGATTTGTTTCAATCCTAATATCTACATTAAACCAGTCTATATACCAATCTTTTCTCAACTACCAAACTAGTTAACCCAGATGGGTTGTTGTATCTAGGCTTTAAGTGCCTTCTGGTTTTACTTCCCTTGGTTCCTAATTCTATAACATAGAACCTTTTCCTCTGATATGACTCTGGCGGCCAGGTTGGTGATCTCTTTTTGCTTCAGGGTATTCGTCTGATTCTTCAGTCACCGGTTTCTAATTTTCTACAATATCATCAAAGATCATCACTACCTCCTTACTCAGGTCTTGCCAAACAGGTTTCAATTATTCCGGTTCCTTAAATTTGGATTGCCCAAGAGCTTCTATTTCGAGATAGTAGTATCAAGATTACAAGTAATATACTCAACCGATTGTTGAATAATTGTTACTAGTATACAGTCTATTTTTCTAAAAACATCTCTAGTAGAATTCAAACTCTAGTTCTGCCGCTTGAGAGTGACAACTTAACTACTACTCTAAGTCACTACACTCTTTAGTTTTGTTATTAATTTTATTATTATTATTATTATTATTATTATTTTTTTTCCACTTAGGCCATCTTGCCTTTAGTCTCCTTTATTACTTTACGATTGTATGATATTACAAAAGGCCTTA